TACAACTAGGATACAGCTTCCCAAATTCCCAGCTCCTAACTCGGCTAGGGCATAAGCAAATCTCTCACCACATTTTCCCACTATGGTAACATGTCAGGTCCATGAAAATGTCACTTTGCTCAGCTGTTATTTACAGCTATAATGAAAGATCTGGCTGAGTTATTTGACACACATCTACATTCTCCGGTCTAGCTGATAAGCAGTATTTGTTTAACAGCCCATTTATTTTCCCAATATCTTCGCGTATTGCACGTTACGAGTAATTTATACTAGAGCCGGATGGGATTATATTTGGAGGTGATAACAGTAAATGCAGACCTCAGGTAGAAAGCAGGGCTTTATTATTTCAAAGAATTACATCCTTCCTGCCTCTCACTCTTCTATTTCAAGTGGGAAATGTGTGCTGCTTTGCTTATTGTCCACAGCGTTACACAGGGACGCAATGGAAACTAAACAGCTAGAAGACACCACCCTAGATACAGACAAATTTTTCAGAGTAGATGATGAGACGCCTATAACTGTTTCCCTGATCTGCCCAGAAGGGACATGTGTCACGGTTTGCAGATTAGGTGAGGCCCAGAGCCATTCCCCCTCCTTCACTGCTGGCGTTGGACCAAGGAGGAAGAGGAGCGGGTGTGTGTTCGGAACTGGACGGGGCCAAGGGACAGGGGACAGCCAGGTGGGGTTACCCTTTGCCAGGCAGCGGACGCAGGCGTGAAACTGAAACCACCGCCAGCCCCTGCCAGGGGAATTCCTGCAGGATCCCACCCCGTGGGAGCGGTTCAGAAGTGGGTCAGGACTTCGGGCCGCCAACGCCAGCCCCTGAGGCAAGCCCTGCCGCTGTACCAGATGGGTGCCTCGCTCCCTGCACAAGCCTGGGGCTTTCCCCAGAGCTGCTGGGACCCACGTGGGCTTGGAGAGTCATGTCACTTGCTCTGTGTGAGGGCTGCAAGCTGGCTCAGGTTGGGGGTGCTGGGCGTTTCTCTCCCATGTGCTTTCACTGTAGGTGTTGGCAGGTCTGGAAGTTATGTATTGCCTGGAAACCCTTTGATGGCCATGTTCCCCACTCAGACCCAACAAGACAGTCCCCCTTCCCAGAGCACTTTCAGTGTAGGATGAGATGCTGGCTCTCTGGCCCAAGGGCTCTTCAAAACGAAACACGTCAGGAAGAGGTGTTTTTCGGTTTTGGTTTTGTTTTTTGTTTTTTTTAATATCAGCCACAAATCCAACAGGGTTGGCACACATGCTGACCTGGACCCCATCGTTGGGACCATGCCTGTGAAGGCTGTGCCAAGGGGGAAGGTATCCTCCTCCTCTGTACTTGAGATGAAGCTGGAATCTCCGCCCACCACATGAGACTGATTCTGGCATTGCACTGTTGTCCAACACAGCTCCTGAATGTAAGTAAAAATTCCCTACATGGGAGCATTCATATGACAGCTGATCCACTGTCCTACAGAAGTCAGTGCTCAGTGAAGCAGGCTGAATGCACAAATGCTTTCAAATAAAAAGGAACTCATTGCAGTGGCAGAACTCATTGCAGTGGCAACAGCATTCGGAAGGGACAAGAGGTCTGCTGCTTCAAGAAGGCACAACTGATAGTTCTGCAGATGAACGTGATCCTGATCTCCCCTGATAACCATTAGGAGTTACGCTATTGAATGCAAAGCACTTATTTCAGTACAGCCCAAAAGCAGCTCTTCTAGCCTAAAACTACATCCCAGCACAACAACAACAGGGAGAACTCTAAGCAGATCTGGCTACTTTGATGTCATTTCATTCCCCACCTGCTTCTTTGTGCATATTATTAGAGATTTATTTCACTGTATTTATGTTTATTTTGGCCCAGCATTACATGCAAAGCCTAGAGAATTCAGTAACCCAAGTCCTGAGAATCAATTTAATCACATTTCAGATTTAAAAGGCAGAACTAGGTAAAAGTCACCTTCTATTTTCATTAGGATATTTGCACTTAAGCACAAAACAATTGACAAACTCCCTACATGGACTTTATGTGAAGAAATAAAAGCCAATTTCTCCTGCACTGCAAGTAAAATGCAACAAAAAAAAAGTCCCTAAATGGTGTTGAACTTGTGGTATTTATGACTCTGGCCCTAAATTGCCTTTCATATTTTCTTGGATCCCAAAGCTGTAGCCAAATTGGCTGGTTAAATGTGAATAAATGGTGCATTGTCTTTGAAACAAAGTCATGCTTATTAAAGAGAAGACAGTTTACTTTTTCAGAGTCACAGTTAATAACACAAAGCAGAGAGAGCATAGATTTTACACACAAGAAAGTCTTCGATAAGGGCATGCATCTCATTTTAGTCTGTATGAGAAGAGCTGTCCTAGGGCAGAAAAATTCTTCAACATATTTGTGAAGTTGGAGCAAAATAGCTGACTGCAAAAGAACACAACTGGGTTCAGACCGGTGGTTTTGATAGGTCTGCAGCAAGGAATAGTATGAAATACTTCCCACAGACCTGGAATGTTGTTTTCTTCACCTGACAGCAATTTATTGTAACCGTACATACTAGAATGTTGTTCGTTAGTGACTGAGCTTATATATGGTTTTACGGTATTATAACACAAAGAGTGCAGGCTGCATTCCTGGCTCTGTCATGTTTATAAGCAAAACAAACACTAATATAACAGACGATTAAAAAAAGCATGCCTTGGTGTGCAAATAGCTGCAATTACTGATTTGCCAATTCTGCATGCTCTGATGAACAGCAGAGTAGTAGAGTTAAACAGAAGCACATTCATGGATTGCATAATTGCTCATAGATCTGCAAGTCCTTGTTAAATGGCAAGATTAAAGCTAATTAGACATTGAAATTTAGAAGTATGAAGCAAGCAATGCTCTCCATATTTTTCCTGCTTTCTTAGTAACAGCTGCAAGTACAGTATTTGCAAGGGTGGAAATGAGAAGTGAAACTCACTGTACAGTCAAATAGAGGGAAAGTTCCTATTTACTTCATTATTTTGCAGTGTACCAAACAGTCACAGTTAAAGAGCACAGTCCTGCACCACTCCAAATAATACAGTCAAATTGTTTTCAGTGTTAGAATCTCTGCAATCTTCTGTATCTACTAAGGGCATGGAAATATGCACAATGTATGAAACCCATACCCAAACAACAGCAGGAGCCCAGGGCTACCCGTGCTGTTGCAATGTGATATAAAATTTGGACGTATCTATAGTGTGAGTTCCTCTGAAAAGTGTAAAATGTTCATTTATGATCAAAATTTAAAAATAACTGGAAAACTTAATTTTGCCTTACACAGATCACAGGAATAACTTCTTTTCTGTAGGAGTCAAGCACTAAAACTCTCAGTCCTAACATCCCAAGAGCTGAAACAGGTTTTTTTCATGCTCTTTCATCTTCAATATCTAAGGGCTTTCTTGGGAGGAGTGGTGGCCAACTGTCATATTACTGGAATGGAGGCTGTCATATCCCCATTAAAGAGCTTTGCAGACACCTCCACCCCAGCTGTCTTCTGGTCCAGCAAGCCTTCATTCATCTTCCTCCCACATTTTATTTTTCAAATACATAGCAACAGCCTGATCCTGCCAAATCAGAGGCATGTGGGTAAGTAACTCTTTGTACATAAACAGTTCCATCAAGATGGCACACATGCCCAGACATCTGCAGGTAAGGCTCCATATTTGGAACTGCAGCGTTAGCGGGTTTGAGATTTGATTTTCATAATTAACACCTCACACCCTACCCACTGTAGTCTGGTAAGAAGGAGTCATTGTTCATGGGGAAGGCTTTGGCATGTTCAGGAGTAAAAGGCAGTTTTCAATAATATGCTAAAACAACCTTAGAACTTGAAAAACTAAATGAGGGTGTAAGAAGTCCTGCAAAATGTCTCTGCCAGGAAGAAGTCTTTGAATTGTCACTAATCCATAGGTAGATAAATTTTTCCCATGGAAATATTTGTGCTGCAGTTTTTATTCCGTATAGAAGCCAATTAACTGTGTTGAATACACCTACAAATGTCTTTTATATATGTTGAAAAAAAAAAAATTTAAAGATCCCTGGGGCAGAACTTTCATCATCCTTTAAAAACCTCCACCAGCATAGCTTATGCTCTGAACTTTGTTTTAAAAACAGTTTTTATAGCTAAGGGATAGAAATAAACAAAATAAAGCAGAATAACAGTCATAATAAATCTACCCAAATCCTACTCCACAGTCAACCGCTTCACTGGCACTGCGTCAGGCTAACCGAAATCTACAGCGCTACTGCCAGCTGTCTGAGCTTACAAACCACTAACCCTGCTCCGCTTGGCCATGCAGCACACAAACCTTTCACGCAGAGTCATGCCACAAAACCCCACTCCTGCAAAGGGCAGCAGCACACAACCTTGCCCAGACCGTGTCTCCATACCAACTCCCCGGGCAGACATCTGTACCCTGCCCCGAGTTAACGGACAGTTTTGTCTTTCTTGCAGCCAGGGCTCCAGCAAACGTGGCTCCACGCTCCTGACAAAACAAATGTGGGATGCCAGAACGTAACGACGGTGGAGAGCCCGACTCCCCTGCCTCGGTCCAGACGGATGCAGCTCCAACCTGTATCTACCAGGCAGGACAGTGTCACCGAGAAGCAGTTACACTTTCCTGTTCTTAAGGTAGGCAGGGGAGCCTGTTTCAGACCTGGGTTCCACTCCCACACCGTTACTAGAGTTTACCCAGCCAAACTGCCAACACTTCTGCGAGCGTATCAGAAAACCCCCGGCCGGCACTGGGCCAACCCCCTGCCTGGGCACACCAGCGGCGGTGCCACCATGGGGCACAAGCAGCCTGGGAAAGCCCTCGTCCACCAGTACAGGTGGACGGGCACTGAGGAGGGATGCAGCCGGGGTGCCCAGGAGTGCCCCAGTCAGTGGGCACAGGCCCTTTCCTCACTGCCCCCCACTCCGGGGCTGAGCCAGACTTTCTCCCCCCCGGGGCCCGGAGAGGACAGAGCCCAGCGCCCAGGGTTTGGCTCTTACCACTTTGCCGTCCTTGGCCTCTCGCCGGTGCCCCGGGGCCGGGGGGTCCGCACCGCCGCTGCCCCCAGCTCGGCCCTCACCGGGCGAGAGGGAGTAGAAAGGGGGGCTGGGGCTGGGGGGCAGCCCCGAGTCCGGGCTGTCCAGCAAGCCTTCCCGGCTCTTCTCCTTCAGGCTCTCGTCCATCCCTTGCAGCTGTAGGTGACCTACCATGTCTGGGGGGCAGCGAGGGGGCCGCAGCGGGAGAAAATGCTCCAGCGCCGCCCGCCGCGGAGGGAGGGAAGGGGAAAGGAGCCCGGGGGGCCCCCCCTGAGTCCCGATCGCCGCCACCAGCCTGCCGGAGTCCGGGCTGAGCCTGCTGCGGGGAGGAGAGCCAGCACCAGCCGGACCGGGGCTACCCCGGCCGCCTTCCCTCCACCCGGCCCCCG